GTACAGGGATGTGGCCCAATCCCTAGTGGTCTAGATCGAGAGCTGACTGGGTTGTAGCCTTGGTCTAGTTATTATTGTACTCCTCCGCTTAGGAATACAGTGGATTACCAGCAAGTCGCTCTGGAAACTTGACGTATTTCTCTGGGAGTTGGGGGGGGGGAGGGGGGGGACCTTCGATGAACAAGTATTACCACGCATGGGTAGTGGTACACTTTTAGTCGCGTTACCTTACTGATGTCATTTCTTGCAGGCAGATACTGGAACAGCGTAAAGAGAGCCGCTACACAGATCTGCCAATCATTAGTACAAGCTCAACAGCGAGAGAAAGAAGAGGCCGATACTGTGACGGCGCTAGCGTCACTTTCCATGGGAGTTGTACAGGAATCAAACAAGTAAGAAATGTCAATCTGTTTGTTAACAGTACGCTGTTTCCTTGTTTAGGCGTAAAGTTCGTTTTCTTCTCTCCAATGGCTGAAGCCTCAAGTGTCGACTTAAAAAAACATGGCTGTGAATTGCAACTGTTGGCTATGACGATGTCGTCCTGAGCCTTTGAGATTGGTTTAGTTTTAAAACTTGGCCTCATTTTAACTTGGAAAATGGTTGATAGCAATGTCCGAGTTGCTGTTCTGACCAAAATTCACTCCTTCCATCCATCACTTTGTCTCTGCTTTTTTGCAGTCCTTTTAACTTTTTTGTTGAGTTCGCTGAACAGCACATAAGGCTTTGCATGTTTGATTGCTGCCTGAGACTGAACTCACAGCTAATAATTGGTGATAATTTTAACAGTCTGGTGAGAAATAACGCGGATTCAACTGATCTCTCGCTTGATAGGAGAAGCACTTTTCTTTGCGTCAAGTTCGCAGAACGTATTTGCTGTTGGGAGTGTGCTTTCAGGGATTAGATCATTTAGATAAAAAGCGACTTTTCTTAACCAATAGTTTTCAAATATGAAGTGAGTTCATGTCATGTCTACCCCGTATGATTCATTTCCGTTTTTAGTGGCTTGCATGCACTTTGATCGTCTATCCCCACCCCACTGAGTGGCAGGCTCTTTGATCACCTATCCCCACCTCACTGGGTACCCCATTGTTTAGACGACACCTTTACTCGCGCTAACTTCTATAACAACTATTGATATTTTCCACTCTTGAAATTTCAGAAATATTGACGAATCCATGGAAGAGGAGCAAGTTGAAACATGAGATCAAAACAGAAAAAACAAAAGCAAGGAATGATTTTAGGTAGAATAGCTTCTATATACATCTTGTTTAAATGCCTATACGTCTATCAGACAAATCAAAGCACTCGTTGTAAATCGGTTCACAGTCGTGTAGCTTGAAATGAAGGACGAGTGATCGTTGTCTTTTGACCGCTGACCCAGTCCGAGCTGCAATAAGATAAAACGATTTATCGGGAAAGAAATGTTTCAGTGAGCTAAAATGTAGAGTCACCCAAAAGAATTTAGCTTTCCAAGATTAATTGGATAGCACTCGCTTTGAACGAGGTTTTAGGAATGCCCTACAACCGAACAACTGTTTCTCTGGGTGCCATTGCTATAGTAAGGGTAAGAAGGAATGGGTCATGTCCTCGAGAAGCTTTACGGTTGCTTAATTATCACGTCGTTCGCATATCCTTGCGCCATAAAATTTCGAATTGGCACCGTTCATAGACCGGTTTTTTTTTGTTCCTCAATCGGACTGGGTCAGCTTGCAAAAGTGATTGTAATTTTTTATGCAGCCATGCAGCACTGGCTTGATGTAATGGACTTGATGTGTTATATGCATAGAGTGGGACAACGAATCGAATGACCGGTTATTAACCATCATTGCAAGTCTGACTGTACAACTTCAGTTTTAAGAGCTATGTCACTCACGTCTACCCCCTCCCCTCCCCCCCTCAAATTCGTCCCTTTATTCCGTTTTTATGTGAAAGGTTCCTCCTTTAAGCCAGTCTTAGTTCTGTTTTCGTTGACCTCGTCGTTATTGTATGTCTTCATCAACTATCTCTTAGGAGCCATTTTCTGATGATTTTGACAAAAAGTGAAAGAACAGGCTTTCGATACATCGCTCCATTCTATTTCGTAGTGGCCATTTTGGATTTTATTGGTGCGTCTGTTGCTGTGATCTAAAAGCCCAACACTTGCGCAGCTCTAAATGGCCTTTCGATTATTGTCGGCAAACGATCGGATTTTCCGAAAATGCTCCGAACTTCTTTGGGTGATCCCGACCTCGGTAAAGATTCTTTTTTACAGACCACTGCTTCTGTAGAACTAAAATAAAGTCGTTCCGAATAATATTGCATTAATTCTTCAGTTTTTCTTATTTCTTTTTCGATGCCTGTTGTAATTCTAAACAGGTATGTGTATTTATTTCGCTGTGCTAATGCTTAAGGTTTCTTCCGATGAATAAGTGATTTTAAAACTGGCCCTTGGTGTAGCGTACACGGGCGAGACGCAACTCTTTAAAACTGAAGCTTTATTCAATATAGCTATAAATACCTAGCTTAGCTAAGTGTTTTCATTACTCATTTTATCATCATAATCACATACCTAGCTGGCTAACCCCTCTACTCTCGCAACCTGATTACAACTTTTCCATTCCATCTGCCATGGAATTCCTTGTATATTAGTTTGCTATGATACAACGACAGGATCCTCCAGCTGTTTAGTGTTTCTATGCTCATCACCTATCAACTGAAAATTGTAATGAAATCGCTTGGAGAGTCTCTCTGTAAATCAGCTGCGAGAGTTGTGGGACTAGACTTGTTTATCAGACTTCCAAGGAGTTTCTAGTGTGTAATTTAGCCGAGATATCCCCTCGGTAACTCTGTAATTATTCCGTGTACATAGTTGTCAAAAGTGTCTGGGGATTTTTTGAAAAAAGACCCCAGTTACTAGAGGATTTTCTCATTTAAATTATGGCTTTTAAAAATGTTACCCTGCGTAGCAAATATATAACAGGGAAGTGACAATACTATGTAAATGCTACATACATATATATTATGAATAGTAAAAAGTTTTTAGCCTTAAGAAGGTGGAATGTTATGGCATAAATTCGTGGCAGATTCGTGTTAGATTTACAGAGCCACCTTAAAAATCTGTGACCCGTGTGTACTGGGTCGAGTCTTTCGAGGCATATTGAAGCTGCCCGTGAACTGATGCTGTTCCAACATTTTGTGCTATGCTGTTACAATTATTGCAGTTGGTAGTGTTTTCGAGAGATTTTTTTTTGTCCAGTGTATCTTCTCAGTGTGGCAGAAGGGAAATTTGATTTTATGTGGGCCTCGTCACGTATTTGTTTCTTCTTAGCATGATTCTGAACTGTTTATTTTTTGAGACAGACTTGTGGAGGGTAAAACCAGTTGTGTTTCGACTTAGTTTGGATCTGTGTCCGACCTAAAAGCTTGAGGCTTAAAACTAGATGTCCTTGATACAAGAGCTTTTGGTCGTCTCACTAGAGGATAAACGAACGCAAATTGTCACGGCAAAACGGCGGTTTGTTCATGTCCTAATAGTAAGTTGGTTCGTTCGCCTGACATGTTCGATCTCACTATGAACGATTACTTCTCAAATTCACCATGAAATGTTTTAGGCAAACTGAGAAAGAAGAACTAAGAGAAAATGCAACGACAAAACTCCAAATTCTCATAACCAGAAATTAAGGAAATAGTTACAAGGCAGAGAAGAGAATTGCTAATTACGTCATGAGGGTCACATGGTTAAAAGAGTTGGAGGACTCTTCCTGGTTCTTCAAAAGCGTCAGTGAATAAAAATACTTGTAATGTTGGTTTATTTTTATTTTTTGTAGTTTTATTTTATTGTAAGAAATATTCGTTTTCTCTCTTTGTGTTGAAAAAACAATTCCCAGTTATGAAGCGGAGTCTTTTTACGAAGTCTGCACACAGGAAAAATGGGAATAGATTAACTTCCTAACTCTATGTTCAATTTCCACGTGTAGTTAATAACTTTTATGTATTACGTCGACGTAGACCTTGAAACTAAAGCGTAAAGAGGGTTGGCTTTCAGAGACTAGCGTCACAAATGGATTTATTTTCAAATTAAAAACAAAAATGTTGTTAAATTCTCTTTTATAAGTTTGTGTTTCAGAGTGGGGCGTGGTGGGGCTGAATGAGTGTTTTTTGGGTGGGGTGCAGTACGGCTTGCAGAAGTGAAACAGTTGTTGTTGTTGTTGTTGTTTTTTTTTTTTTTCAAGTTCGCAGTGAGACACGGAGTTTGAGTACGGAAAAGAGTCATCAAGAATAAAACCTGCCACAGCTTACTTCGTTGCAAAATGTTCACTGACGCATGCGCGCGCCTGATTCTTCCGACTTCTTTTTTTCTCAGCACAAACTGCACATGCTATACTTAAGCTTTAAGATTACATACTCTGCTCGTTAGTGTACAAAAATATCGATCGCAACTAAAAAAAATATTAATTTCTTTTACTTTTGGGTTCCGAGGCTTCCCTCCAAGGTTTCCCTGAGGGATAGATGCAGAGCAATTAAGTAAAGGCTATGTTTGGGGCGCACGATTGAACCAGAAACATAGTCACGTGGTAACCAATCTTTTCTCCTATGGGATGACCCAAGTTGAGTTCAGGAACTCAACTGAGAAAGTTACAACTTCTTATTGGAAGTCTTAGAGCGTCTCGTACGCAGGATCTCTGTTCCTCCAGATGAAAGGAAGAAGACAGACCATGGGAACTTAAGTTGGTCGCCTCTCAATCACTCTGCATGAAATACAATTCTAGTGTCCTCCTTGAAAGGTATCATTCATCAGCAATGTGCTGAAAATTTTGACTGTCCGCTTTACAGGAGGGTAAATGATTTACTTAACATTTTGCAAGCTTCCGTACAAAATTTTCAGGTCAGTCCTTAGCAATCCCGGCCGATTTTTTCCATCTGTCACCTTAACAAATCGATATCGTGTGATCAAAAAATGTCACAATATCGACATAAAAAAAAAAAACGAATCTTTCGTGCGTGACACGTTAACGCGGGCAACGCTGTCTGTACTCTTCTTGACAATGGCAATTAATTGGCCAATCAGATTGAGACATTACTGCTAGTTGTGGTAAAAATTCTCTTTCCGTGTTGCCTTATCATTGCCTTTCTGTTTAAAAGTTTACTTTTCAGCCAGATACATTCTCCTTCAATTAAAGGTGGTTTTGTAGGGTATAAGAAAGGACTCTAAATATTCAAGTTACCGCGTCAAATGGAGGATACCCATCGGGCGTGTTGGAGACTTGTCCATCTCACAAGAGAGGCCAGCTCCATGGGCAAGAAGGTGATAGAGTCTGGGAAAGAAGGTGTCAGGACGACGGCTTGCTTGTGCTTGGAGAGGGTCTCTGTCTATAAAATGGTGGTGACTGATGCGTTGAACCAGTATTTTAGTTTGCGTGCAGCTTTACATCGCGTTATTCTTTTGGAGGAGAAGAACCACAATTACACTTGATTTAAAACACATAAATTTACTTTTTCCATATGAAAATTATTATTTTAAGATACGATCAAAATGTGAAAAAATTCTCTGCTGGAAGTGTGAGACCTCAAAGAAACACAGACTTTCAAACGGAGGAAGCGTGATCAAACCATTGTGAACATGGGTGCTTCTTGGGCTTGTAAAATATGTTGAAGATAAAGGATCGGTAGTGAAATATTTTTACTGATTAAAATTTCATTGTTTTCGTTGAAAAACATATTTTTCTTGTACATTTATTTTTTTAAATTACAATCGAAATATAAAAGTGTCTCTTTTGGAAGTGTGAGGCCTCAAAGAAACAAAATGTAACGCGGAGGAAACATAAGATATATAACTGATTAAATCGTTGCGAACAAAGATACTTCTTGGGTTTGTAACTATATAAAAGAAGACAAGAATCGGTAGTAAAATTTCACAGTGTTTACTTTAAAAAGTATAAACCTCATCCATCACTATGATCTCCAGATAAGAAATTACTTTAATTCAAGTCGATCTCCACCATAGCACATTCCTCGGTCGGTATTGGATTCAGCCCCCAGATCGTATCCTCTGGACATACTCCTCTGTATCTTCAGGCTCTCCTCTAGATAATCTTCTTCTGATAAAAGCGAGTCATCAGATTTCACTTGAACAGGATATCCCTGGGAACCTCTTCGCTGTTTCCTTAGACCAGTCATTAACATGTGTTCAACTGTGTCTGACTCGTTTCGAGTCCCTTTATCCGTGCTACCCTTTTCCTCAATAGTCCTGTTCATGCCATCATCTTCCGTCAAAAGCGATTCATCAGATTTCACGTTTTCAGGGTATCCCTGAGAACCTCTTCTCTGTTTCATCATCTTCTCCTTTAGATAATCTACCTCTTCCACTACATCAGAATCATCCGTGTTAACTATACCACACTCAGGATATCCTTGGGAACCTCTTCGCTGTTTCTTTAAACCTTCCTTTAACAAGTGTTCAAAGGTTTCAGATTCGTATCCACTTCCTTTCTCCATTTTGCTCAAGGAATCTTCCTGAGCCAAGGTCTGGCGCTTACATTCTCTGGCAGCAGAGTCAAAGGTCAGTAAGGGCCTAACTAAGTGCTAGGAACTAACGAAGTATCAGTTTCGCCTTACGCACTGCAAAGCATGAGGATTATGGAAAACTCACCGGGACAATTTACGCCGATAGCGCATCAAGACCCAAAAAACAACAATCACACTGAGCATGCTCAGAACAATCATCACGATCCCACCAGCCATCGCCAATGGAGAAAAGCTTCCATGATGAAAATAAATCAAAGGTCCACCTCCTGTCAGTCTGTGATGAGGATGATAATGTCCATGATGACCGTGGTCTGTAAAAAAATAATATAAGTTGTTAAAAGTTTTTAAATATAAGGATCGCATGCCTGCAGGTAAAATCGCATTTACATCAAAAAGGTTTACCTTGTCAAGGAAGATTTTTCCATCGTTTTTAGTCTAGCGAGAAGTTTATGGTTCAACTTACCATAAATTGTCTTACCTATTACTGGAATTTTTGATGGACATTTAATTTTCTGGCCGTCGAATGATTTCAATCCAGCGGTCTCTCTCAAGTGTTTCAATGTGTGGATCATCACGTGGTCACAGTCTAAGGGATTATGATTGATAAACCTGGGGACAAACAAAAAAACACTGTGAAGTTTTAGAATTTGTCTTCCTGGAGATAATTTGCCATGGGGTGATCATCCAGGATTGAAGACACCTCAAAGTAAAAGACACGCAAATGCACGTTTATTATCTCATTGTAATGCTGTTGGCTTCCTAAAAAAAAAAAAAAACTATAAACTCAGCGCTTTTGAGTTGTGTCTATTGTGAAAAGTTTGTGAAGTTTGTTTCCACTTACAATCTCTCCAGGTTTGAGTAAGCCTCCACGTCTTTAAAGGTGATGTGCTTGATTTTTCCATACGTCAAATCCGTGTGGAAACCAAAAGACAGACAAACAAATAAAGTAAATGACTGACTACAACAACTGAATTTTTCCAGTGACACACCCTCCGCTACCCACCTTGCATCACCAGTTCCTTTCATTCTTTACGCGATTTTGAGCATTATCATCAAGATTGCTTTGTTTCAACGCCTTTATGGTTTCAATGCTATGATAAATTATATTTCCGGTTTTGTCCCTAAACCGTCCTCAAATGCTACTTGTTCGTAAACACTATCAAATCATTTGAATGCCGATTAGGATTTCAAGTCTCGTCTGGGAAAGTTGAAGTATTACTTACAGAGTTTTGACGTTTGATGCAAAGCCGAACAGGGGGAATTTTTCCATTCCTCGGCAGACCACGACGGAGAAGTCATCGGTACAGTCACACTGCAACGGACATTCAAGCTTGGCTTGAGCATAAGAGCACAAAATAATCACGATAAGCACAATGCCTTGTTTTCTCGAAATCATCTCGAAGCTGTTCAAAAACTCGAACAAAGTCGAACTGAATAGTCTCCAGTGATCATTAACGCTTTGTGACGTCATATCTAATTGCGATAATGATGCGCGCGAAAGTATTGTATCATGACGTCATGAATTTAAGAATAGGTCTCTTTAAGAATCAAACATCTTGGGTAATGAAAATTTTCAACCCTCCTTCAAATTTTGCATGCAGTTAGGCACTCAGGGGGAGGCACAAAAATGCCCTTTTTAAAGGTTGCAGCACTCTTGTTGCCATGGTAACAACGTCTGCTTGTACGAGGCCTGGGGCCTCATTTTCATGCAAAAACATCTCAAAAAAAAAAGAGTAAAATGTTTATTTCTCTTTCTTAAGCAAAATAAAACATTACAGTTTGGTACTTCTACCATATATAGCGACATTATTTGTCTTCACTCTGATGCATTCAATTTTCCCTGGGAGTGAATGTGGACACACCAATAGATTATTTATCTCAGTACAGTTTCGGTCATTTTTGTTGTAGGGTAAAACAGGGAAAACGTTTATCTGAATTTCTCCAAAAGTACACCGATTCTGGAACTGAAATTACCCACCTAGAAGCTCATAATATTTTAGTTTTTAAATATGTAAAATCTCTGCGGGCCGACCTTTACTTTTCATAGGGGAAATTCGCGAACGAAACTAAAAATCACGGATATTGCGTAATTTGGCGATGTTTGCATCTAATGTTCTCAACAACAAACGTCTCTGACAAATGAAACGTGCAAGGCTTGGAAAGAATGTTATGAATATGTTATGAGTAATATCCCGAAAAGAAATCTCGTCCCTGGTTGTCATCTTTTAAAAAATTGATCTGCCTTCATGGAGGGCTACTCGACGTACCTACCATCCAGATTCCGAGTGCTGCACCTTCTTTCACGGGAATTTGAGCAATCTGAAATCCTCTGAAGATACACTGTTATACTTGTACGTCATTTGAAACATGTTAAAGTCGGCTGATCTACACGAAACTATCCCATCACCGGTCATTTGTCATAAATTAAGTAATAAATAAATTTGCCTAATTACTCAGATATCTCTTTTTTATACTTGTATATATATATATATATATATATATATATATATTGTAGTACACGAGGACGGACAACTTCGAGCTAAGAAAGACATATACTCAAATAAAAAGTGTGTGCAGACCACAAGTCTGCTATGGTCACTAAGAAAAAGGCCTGTGAAGTAGCGGTACATTTTAACAAAACACCACATGATTTAAGCGATTTCTCATTCCAATGCATTGATCAAGTGCAGGCGACCGTAAACAATTCAGGTAACATCGAGAAACTTCTAATTACCAAAG